AAAAAAAAAAAATGTACTTATTAATTTGGTAATATCTTTTGGGACAAAATAAGTTCTGTACCTACAACATTAAAGAAGTGTCTTATAAAATACTACATATAGGATTTATCCAGATTTAAGCTGAACATTTCATATACTGTCAATTTTGTGGACAGGAAAATGAAACTATTTTGCATTTTAGAAAATATTTTTTTATATTTTAGAAAATAAAGAACAATATAACAAGGATTACTTATTCTGCCGTGTCTGCTTTTGGACAACAATGGTATTCCGGCCTTCATCTGTGAATTGAAATGTCTATTAATTTAAGGAGCTCGGCTGAAATCACTGTGGGGCCCCGGCCGGGGCTTCCCACTTTGAGGAAGTGTTCGAAAAGGTAGGCCTAAATGTTTTTCAGAAAATTACAATGGTGCATTAACAGATTTTATGCTAGTATGTTATTAGTTGCTGTAATTTGATTGCCTGCTGCTGGCCATATTTGTTGATTTATCAGTATTTTTCACTATAATATTACCTTTTACCCCAAAGAAACTTTTCATTTTCAACTTGATTGCACATACTGTTATGGATTTTAAATTTTTATGTTATAGCACCCCCTATAGATAGAATTTGACACAACTTGTGGTGTGACCTCATGTCTTTTGTTTCTTCCAATTCAATTCAATTCAAGTTTATTTGTATAGCGTTTTTCACGATATAAATCGTTGCAAAGCAGCTTAACAGAAAATTAAGTTTCTACAATATTTAGTAGTAGCTTATCAGTGGTGACTGTCAGTTTATGTACATATGGCAGAAATGTACGGACAAATCAATTAAAGACGTAATCAAAGAGACGATGAACACTATTAACAGCAATTATTATATGATACAATCAAACTTATAGCAAAATTTGGTAGTTCTATATGTTGCTTCTGGGTTGGCCTCATCTGAGGTCCTCTGAGGGGTTGGCATCATCTCTTCTCAGGTGTTCTGGATCCAGACTGAAGCTTGTGTAAATCCTAGTTATATAGTAAATACTATAGTAAATGCTAGGAATGTCAATCCCGGGGCAAAAACAGAGAAACAAATAGAGACATAATTAGCGTATAGCTGCTGTTCCAAACAAGTAAAATTAATTTGTTTAACCCAAGCTAAAGAATATTAATGTGCATTTGATCAGATATAACTGCAGTCCAAGATTATGAGTTGCATTATTTGAATGCTTGGCCAAAGAGATGTGTTTTTAAGCTAGATTTAAACAGAGAGAGTGTGTCTGAACCCCGAACGTTATCAGGAAGGCTAGAGTTTGGCAGCCAAATGCGAAAAAGCTCTACCTCCTTGAGCGTGTCAAGTTTGGACTTCGCATTCAGCACTTTTACGTAGGCTAAGTCCATTAGTTAAAATAGGCAATGCCCAAGAATTTCATTGGCTTTTATCTTCAAAAAGCTATGACATAAGTTTTTCTGTTAACTGGGATAAGCCTTCCAAGTTTGGAGTCTCTGTGATTTAAGGTCTCTGATGCCCAGACACCTTTAGGGCTAGAAAGAAGAAGAACTTTAAAGAGTTTATTGTCCTAGTTATATAATATAATATAATATAATTCAGCTATGGGAAAGTAAGGAAACCATGGAGAAGCATAGCATACAAGAAAACATGTTCATTCAAAACAATAACCACAGAAACACATATCAACATTAAAAGAATTGAAATGTTCTGAGATGAGTACATAAACAAAATAACTGCACTTACAGTTAGATGTGTATGCCTATGTTTGTGTGTATGTTGCCAGGTTGCAATACAATATTTAGAAACATGATCTGCCCCCCTTTCCAGCAAGAGCACACACAGCCCTAGAGCAGGAAGTTAAACTGATGATTCACAAAACTTCATTATTTACAACATATAGCATTTTCATATACATTTTCATATCATTTACATTTTTGTCTTATACCATTCTAAATAAGGAATAAGTAAAATCTTTTATCGAATGCATGAATTGCTAGATTTCAAGCGTATATCTGAGTGACATTGTACATCAATGTACTGTATGCTCCTGAACTTTTAGGGTGTGACGTGGTTTTGGGCACAGCATATTTTTATTCAGTCACAGAACAAAAGTGAAATGTCACCGCTTCTATGTGAATAATAATATGGAAACATCTAAGAGTGAAAGGTCACACTCTCTAATTAGAGCAGTTTCAAAGAAAACAGGAACTTTGTCCAACTTTGATAAACTCTGAGTTTATAACTATTTGACATGTTTTGGCCAGCAATTATTTTGTACTTGTTTTGTATCTATTCAGCTAATAAATTAAATAGGGTAAATACAAACCAGTCATCTTGGATTTTACTGACACCTACACTCTTAAAAATAAAGGTGCTTCAAAAGGTTCTTCAAGCGATGCCATAGAAGAACCATTTTTGGTTCCACAAAGAACCATGTAGTGAAAGGTTCTTTAAAGAACCATCTCTTTCTTACCTTTTTATAATCTGAAGAACCTTCTTTCGACACAAAGAACCTTTTGTGAAACAGAAAGGTTCTTCAGGTGTTAAAGATTCTTTATGTAACCATTTAGACAAAAATGTTCTTCTATGTCATCGTGAAGCACCTTTATTTTTAAGAGTGTAGAGGTGCGATAGCATCATGCAACAGAATTGCTCTGTTCACGTGTTTTTGTGTCACACTATTTAAATGAGAAAACCATTGTTGAAAGCACCGTTAAATACAACACTTTTCTTCATCATTTTATTAAATCAAACATTCTCAGTATCCCTCGCTGAGCTCAGAGGCTTGTACACCTCATATAGAGCTGAAAGAGATAGAAGAGGATGGGAGAAAAGGCAAATAAACAGGAAGAGAGTGGGAAAGTAGAAGAAAAGAAGATGTGTTTACATTATCTGTCACCGGTGGTCTCTCTCTCTCTCCTGTCAGCTGAAGGCTTCCAGAGAAGCTTTTGTAAAGATGGAATTCCAGTCCTCTTACACTGTCTATAAATAGGTTTGAGAAAAACCATGGACAGCCACCAGAGGCTTGTAACAATTATATGCCTTATTTGATCAGCTTACAAAAGATCTGAATCCCTGCACACTTTACAATATTAGAGATTGTATACGAAAACGGGCCTTGATCTCCACTTTTCAGCATATTATGATCATCTGCAGAAATATAGGTTTGTCTTTACACGTGCAGCTTTAGATTATTTCTCCTATACTGCTGCAGATCTGAATCAGGAGTTTTCAGCAGGAGTCTACAACTATTAGGTGGTATGCTCATGGTATGCACATATAATCAAAATATTATATGTGAAATAATGAAAATATAGGGGGGAAATTACAATATTAATTTACCCAGAAATAAAGGAATAGTTCAACCAAAAATGAACATTTACTCACCCTCGGGCAATCCAAGATGTAGAGATTGTTTCTTCATCAGAACAGATTTGGAGAAATGTAGAATTGCGTGACTTGTTCACCAGTGGCTCCTCCGCAGTGAATGGGTGCCATCAGAATGAGAGTCCAAACAGCTGATAAAAACATTACAATGAGTAATCTACATGATTCCAGTCCATCAGAAGCTTGGATTTAATAACACTGAGATACTACTGTAGTTTGTGTTAATATTTTGAATTTTGAGTATTTATTTGGATTTTTTTCCAATTTCCAATTAAATTTTAGTCAGTTTTAGCAGATTTGTTGTGTGTTTTTGTCATTTTTATTTGTTAGTTTTTTTTAATATTTTCAAATATGTCTATAGTTTTTATAATTTTTTAGTTTGAGATATTTTAGCACATCAGGTTAAACTAAATTAAATTAAGAAATGTTGCCTTGGCAACTAACTGAAATAAAATAAGATTTTATTTTCTTTCATCTAAATTTAAGTTTCTTTTATTTCAAGTAAATGTTTTTTTAATGATTTTAGTTTATTTAACTTTTTTAGTTGACTTCATGAACCTGGCATATACAGTGAAAGTTGATGGGGTCTAAAACATAATTTGACATTTATTTATTTATGCATGCATGTATGCAAGCAGAAAGTCTTACAGGTTTGGCATTACATGAGGGTGAGTAAATTATGACACCATCACATGGCATGACATAATTAACTATCCCTTTAATTAGAAAAAGGAATAAAAAAATCATACTTGTCACTTCCCAAGCTTGCTGGTCTGGACCAGAGAGTCAGATAAGTTTAAATGATGAGATCACCACTGTGAGGGGCAGAGTGGGTTCTCTCTTTCAGTTCATAGTCAATCAGCTCAGTATTCTTATACCAAAAGTTGGAACAGTTGGGCAGTGAGTGAAAGAGATAGGATGAGAGAAATTATTTGTTAGGGGTAGGATGGAGAAGATGGTATGGGAGAGAGAAAGTGGACTGAAGTAGTTTGGGGTAGCTGGGAAGGGAGGGGGCAGAAGCCTACAAATAGCCACAGATGAGCATGCCATGTGCTCATTCTGTCTCTGTCCTCTCCGGAGGGCGTTTGTATTCATCTGGTCTGTCCTTCTTGTGCTTCAACATGGGCCACTATGCCTCTTCCTCATCCTCTTCATCATACCGTCGAATGTTTGGTGGTCCTGGCTACCTGACACCACCAATGTCCCGTGCAATGTTTTGCCGAGCCTCCACCGAGGGGTCTGGCAGCTCTCGGGTCAGCTCCAGAGTCTATGAGGTCAGCAAGTCCTCCACTTCCTCTCCTGGATTCTCCAGTCATCGAGCCTCCTCCTACAGTATGCCCAACTTGTCTGCGGGCTATACCCGCTCCTATGGTGGCATGGGTGAAACGCTGGACTTCAACCTGGCCGACGCGCTCAACCAGGAGTTTCTCCAAACACGCACCAATGAGAAAGCTGAACTTCAGCACCTAAACGACCGATTCGCCAACTACATTGAGAAGGTCCGCATGCTGGAGCAGCAGAACCAGGTGCTGGTGATTGAGGTGGAGCGCTTGAGGGGGCGGGAGCCCACACGGATCGCCGACCTGTATGAGGATGAGATGAGGGAGCTGAGAAGAGAGATCGAAGTGGTCACCAGTCACAGATCACATGTGGAGGTGGAGCGGGATAACTTGGCAGATGACCTGCAGAAACTGAAACTCAGGTGAGATGCATTAAGCATGAATCTCTACTGGAGGAAACATCTTAAACTAGCCTAAATTGGTTTAACAGTCTAGTTGGGCTGGTCTGGCTTGTTTTAGACTGGCTTGTTTTGGTCTGGGTCTTGGGCACTTTCCAGGTGGTCAGGCTACGAAAAATTGGCTGCTTCACTCTTAAAAATAAAAGTTCAAAAAGGAATTTTTGAAATGATGTCACAGAAGAACCGTTTTGGGTTCCCCAAGAACCTTTCAGTCAACATCTCTTAAAAGAAAAACATTTTCTTAGTATGAGAGCATTTTAAGAATCTAAAGAACCTTTTCCACCTCATGGAACCATCAATGCCAATAAAGAACCTTTATATTTAAGACTTTTGGCCAGACTGGGAGTCCAAAAAGATCATCTGAAGACCATCTTGGCCAGGCCAACAAACCAGCTTAGGCTTATGGAAACTTTTTTTTCAGCATCATACAAAAGAAAGAGGGGCTTAAAGGAGTACACTTGTAAACAGATGTTATTTGATTATTCAAAAATATATGCAAATTTTATTCATGTATTCTTTGTGGTACCGAAGCTGTCAACCCACTCTTGAGTTTCATATTTAGAAACACACAGTACATTATATAACAATCCAGAGACATTCAGTGCCAACAGGGGAACAAACATGATCTCTCCCCATAGCAAACACCTCACACACATTCTGCTGCCCCAGACAGTGAAGATAACACAATCTGAGAGAAATACAAACACAATGTGAACACAATGTGAAGTCTATATCACAGCAACAGGAGCACTTGTTACTCTTCTGAACTATTTAACAAATGGAGGAGAGAAAATTGACCAGTTAAAATAAATTTATTTCATGTATTGATTACAAATTAACACAACACAACGGAAACAAGCCACAACGCAATGGA